CCGGGTGCTTGCTGCACAGCAGGCTCCGAAAATAAGCGGGGTCCGAGTGGAAAGCGACGTAGTTTCCCTGGAGCGGGGCAGTTTCATAGTTTAGAGGGGGTTTGCAGGGCGAACGCACGCTCTCCGGGTAGTGCGAGCCCGGGTATTTGCTAAAAATCTGAGGTAGATGAGCGGCGGGGCGCGCGGTGGCGGCGGCGCCCGGGCGCTGGGACTGTGCGCTGATTGGCAGGGGCCGCGCGGCTCCGCTCAGGCCCCGCCAAAGTTGGTGCTTGTCCTTCCAAAATCCCGGGCGGGGGCTGGCCGCGGCGGCGCGCTCTGGCGGCGGCGCCTTTGTGGCCAGGGCCCGGCCGACCCTCCTGCGCTTGGTCTTGAGGACGCGTTCGGTTTTGCAAGAGGTGTAGAGCGCTTCCACGTCTTCCCGGGAGATGAGCGTGCACTTGGCGGCGTGGAAGGCGATGCTGTTGATTGCCTTGAGTTTCCGCAACTCCTCCAGATCGCAGTGGTGCTTTTTCACTTTCAGATGATCCATGCGCTTGTGCACGGTCGTCCTCGGGATGTTTTTCAGCAGATCCGTGAAGACTTGGGAGAGGGCAAACATTTGCTTTCCTTTAATGATGAGGTAGCCGAGCCTCACGCCATCCACCTCTTCAAAACCTGACTTCAGGTCTCCCATCTCGGGCACTAAATGATCCCCACCATTTGCAGTAAATATATACGTGACGCATACATACACATGTATGTATGTTAATCCTCCGCCAGATGCTGCGTGTGTCTCAAGGCATCCTGCTAATAAAATAACAAAGACTGTTATTCCCGGCGAAGGGAGTGCCAAACTCTAGGCGAAATTATTGGGGCAAAAAAACCCCATGAAATTACACTGACTTGATTCTTGCTTTTTTTTTGGTTTTCGTTTTTTTAAAAAAGAGGGAAAAAACCATCCGGTTTCTGATCTGCCAGTGTGGTGGTCTGAGTCCCCGATGCAGATCAGTACCTGGGCCCCTCTATTCCTTCTTTCTCCATTGGAGCACTATGATAATGGAATGTGAAGGGAGAAAGAGAAAAGAAATGCAGCTGCTATTCCCGCCGCTGCTTTAGCTACAAATAAAATGACAGAGTGAAGTGAGCTCGTCCGGAGACACCTTCATCAATTAATTCCCCTAAAGCCAGCGCTGATTGGACACTCCTGACAGGTGATGCAATAAAAATTGATATTCCACCCCTTCCCCCCAAAATCTCCCACTAATTAGCATACCCTTATACTGCCACCTCCCCTCCCAAAGTAAATAATACAGTCGGTATATAAATCTTTCCATTAAACTATCGGAGCTCAGAAACAGCCTGACTCACAGACTTCATCAGAAGCAGTGCGTGTACGCTTCAAAAAAGAAAAAAAAAAAAAGCACCGTATATTCGCCTTTAAAGAAATATTGCCTATTTTTTCTTTATTTGCATTTTACTGATACAGCTATTATCATTTCAAAGAAAATCATTTAAAAAACATGATCAAGCCAAAATAGATACACCCCACCCCCTTTCCTTTGGAAAATGGAGCTTAAGCGAAAATGTGCAGAATAGCCTGGTATTTCCCTTATAGGAGTGGGGAAGGAGGACCGGCTGGGAGCTCCAAAGTTTAACCCGCGCCGTGAACCACCCCAATACACACTTACCTTTGGAATTTCTCTGGATTTCCCCCCCCCCCAATGCCTTTTTACAACCAGAAACAAAGTTATTTGACCAAGAAGCAGTTCAAGGTTTCAGCTTCGAAACACTGTAACAATTCAACTGGATTTCGGTTCTCTGTTGGGGGGTGGGCTGGGGAGGTGGTAGTTTCACGTCAGAGCCATAACAAAGCATAGATAAGCCAGAAATGAGTACACTTTTCACAATTAACCGAGCTGGTTTGGAGGCGGGATCGTCCTAGAGTTCCTAGCACAGCCTTTGCCAGGGTCCTGTTCACAAGTCAGAATTCCAGGGAGCAGATTCCTTCCTTCTGCAGCAAAGAAAATGTCATTTGCCCAAGGTGCTCCCAGAGGTTTTACGTAATAACGATGAAAAGAAAGTGCTGATGTACAATGCAGGCTATTTCAGTGGTCTATGACGCTTTGGTTGGTAGTTTTGGTGAATCTTCTACAACTCCCAGTTTTTCCATGAAAGCCAAGCATCTGCTCTAACAAAATCACTTTGGATGAATAGCAATGTGGTTTAACCTCTTCTTAGTCAAATTAAGGCATATTTTGGTGTAGTTTTCAAGGATATCCAAAATATTGCCAAATGAGAGCAAGGGTCTTCCCAGTTGTATTACCACGGATCCCAAGGCGGTTTGTTGGCTGCGTTGCAAAATTCGGCAAAAATCTTCTTAACTGTTCGATGTTTGCAAATACAACATAAATGCAACCCAGGCATTTATACGTTTCCTTGCACCTCCAAAAATAGACACATCCGGATGATTAAAAGAATAAACGGATATTTCTGAGCCTGCAAAAGATGGTACAATAATTTCTTTCTTCACATTCAAAAGTTGCAGCTTCATCTGTTCTGCTATGGCTAGCACGGACAGGTATGGCTCGAAAAAAGGATAAAAACACAGGAATCAGACATACAAAAAGGTAGTTTGCTTGACAAGATGAAATCTCCGCCACGGTTCCCCACCCCCACCCACACCTCCTTTGCTATTTCCCAGGAATTTTGAAGAGAATTGGGAATTTCAAGAAGTGCATCCGGAAATTAAGGAAGTCTATTTAAGAGAGTCTGTAACTCAGGAGGTTGGGATTTGAAAAGTCAGCCCTGGACTACTGTTGCACTCAGCGCAGATGTAATCACCGCTCTTCAACTTAATCAATGTGTGTACAAACCGCGATGTCTAGTTCTTGCCTTTGAAATCTAAGGCTAGCATTTCCATCCAAGAAATCAGAGCTACAGCAAATTACATTTTTGTCCCTTGAATGAGAGAAGGATCATTGAATGGATCTCGTGATATTTCAGGCTTTAAACGTAACCGAGAGGCAGCAATGAACAATGCCTCGTCACAGCTAATACCATCCACCGAGTTGGCTTTCTTTTGCATCTGGATCTATCACACCGCGTTTTTCTCTTTCACTTTCACAGGAGGCAAAATGCACAAGGTTTAAGCAGAAAGCGAAGTTTCCAGGAAAAGCAGATGCTGGTGTTTGTTTTTTAAAGTAGAATGGCCAGAGTCTTTCTATTGCCCGCAACAATAATGTCGTTTTAAAATTCCTCCTGATGCACTTATATAGTACTGCCAGCCTTCTCCCTCCCACCCCCACCCCCGCCCATTCCCCTCCCCCAGCTTTAAGATTTAGACCGAAGAGTCAGCCAAGAAATAGTAAACTCAGAAAAAGCCTTTGAGAAGACAGTACAAAAGGTTGGCTAGAGCGTCCTTTTTCCCCCCAGGTAGTTTTAGTTGTTCTCCATTCTTGTTAAGATTTACACACACACACACACACACACTCTCTCTCTCTCTCTCTCTCTCTCAGTCCTTCTGTACATAAGCAACATGATTTAGTGAGCATTTCAAAATTACCTCCTTTTCCTCTCCCTTTCTTTCCACCTTTCAAATACTGGCAAAATGGGTGGTTTTGAAAACTAGTAGCATATTAAGTTTTTGTTTTTGTTTTTTAAATAAAGGTATAATCTGTTGGGTCAAACAGAAAAAGATAAAGGGCAGGGGATGGGGCAGTGTGTCTCTGTGTACTATTTATGTGAGTGCCTCTGTATATGCTCTCAGACACCTTTATACTTAATACATTTTTAATACTCCTATTACACATCTTTCTTCTTGTCTAATACATTCTTTTGTTCCTTTAACTTCCCCATCATTGTGTGTGTTAAAGCTCGAGAACTCTCGCTTGCGTGTGCACATGAGCACACGAACACACACACACACAGAGAATGTGACAGACAGCTTTCTTGTGGCCATCAGCACACGTTGCATATCCGGGGTCTTCTCCAGGCACATTGGGGGTCGATCCTGATAAAAAGATCTAGGAGAGGCCCCTGAGCGCTCACACATGAAAGGCAGGGGACTTTAAGATGGATTTGCATGCACACCAGGGATTTCGATCAATAGCTACCAACATTTATGGCTTAGATTATTAATGCGAAAGCTGGCCAAAAGAATGGGAATGAAAAATTAAAGGTGTCTGTTATCAATTATGCTTAAAGTTATGCAATAATTTACTTACTTTGCCTGGATGTGCAGATCCAGATGTATAAAGTACTATTCTTCAAAAGCCAGGGGATTTCTTTGATAAATTTGTTGACCATGTCAGCTGCCTCTATAAAGATGAACCCAACTCAGATGGATAGTATTCAAATTCTTTTTAAAGAAAAGATGTAAATCAACTTCTGTGTTTCTCAAATGCATGTGCAAATGTGGATACACCCGAATTAACATTTTTGTGTATATTCTTCTCTTGGTCCAGGGACTGATTTTGAATTTAGGCATATATATGATATGCAGTGAGTTTGTTAATTAAATGTGATTATTTACTCAGTGAGGAATGCATAATCTACATACTATCTTAGAAAGTATTTTAGCTTTGAAAACCAAGCTGCTTGCCAAAGGAATATCCTCTGTAGCAAATACAGATTGAAATATATTCTTAATGTTCACTTCTGCATTTATTGTAAAAAATCAGCACTTTCAGTTTTTAAAGTGATGGGGTATAAAAATATGAACATATTTGTCTTTACTCGTTCCATATGAATGTGTTAAATTTACCTTTAGATGCTCTATTTTGATTTATTTTCACTGTATTTTATGTTTAAATACCATTGCAATTCAGTCTGACCTCTTTCCTCTGGAGCGAAGTAATGCACACGGCATTTACAGTCTTTTAAATGGTTAGCTGGGAAATGCAATAGCAATTTGCAGGAGTAGTTTACTAATGGGGAAAGTTCTTTTGAAAACCTGAAGGAAAACCTAAGAGTACTTTTGCATTTCTACACTACAACTGTCATATAATTAAAGTATTGAAGAGCCTTAAAATAATCCTTTTCCTTCCAAGCTCTCACCCATACATACGTAAATTTAAATGAGGACCACCCCCCCCAACTCTTAACCATATACATTTGTTTTAGTGATTGCTGGGCACATTTTGTTCAAAGTGAATTCAGACAGAAAAGAGTAAGGAACATCACAAAGGACTCAACAATGTCAGTATCCTGGTTAAAAGAATAAAGGAAGCCCCTTGCACTAACTAAAAGTAACCATAATACTTACAACATAAAATAAAAATAAAGTCTCATAAGGCTGAATTAGTTGAGGATAGAGGACGATAAAATCTCAATAGTTCTTTAGCTAAATGTATCTAATAACACACCTCTTCTGTTTGGGGGGAGGGAAAATGGGAATAGAGGAGGAGAAAATGGCTAAATTGAGAAACTCTTAAATTATAACTTAGTATATTTTCCTTAATATTTTTTCTTTTTGTTTCATCCAAACAAATCAAGGCAAGTCTCCAGAAGGGGCCATCCTTCTGTTCGTAGGCATTTAAAAATCCTGTCTTTTAACAGAAGTTTGGGACACAGAGTATATGCCATGTTGTCTACTGACCCATAATCAAAATGCAGTGACCTTCTACCCTTTTTTTGCCCCCTGACCCGTCTTGAATTCAATGCAGCCTTTATAAATTTGCAAATCCTTGGAGGTAAAGGGGTTTTGTGAGGCTTTGTTCTGAAAAAGCCCTAAGAGTGTGCTTTCTAAATTAGACAAAAGTAAAGCAACAAACCCTAGTGGATGAGAATTTATACAGGTGAGCAGTAGGCAACTCTTCAGATAATGCATATTGCAAGCTAAAAAGCAGTTCTAAACATAGAAGACAAGAAGGTTATGGATTGCATCAAATTAGAGTGTGGTACAAATCACTTTCATGATGAAAGAAATGAGAGTGCCACAGTCTGCCTGTGCTTCTAATCT